GCCGAGGGCTGCCCCTGCTGTGGCTCTGACACCTGTTGCATCACTGGCCACGGCGCGCCCCGCCCCGCCCCACCCCGCCCCGCCGGGGCTGGATCCCTTAAGGCCCCCATGCGCGCTCCAGTGACGCAATGGCTTGGAGCTGGAGTGGCCTGCCCAGGGCAGCTGGACCCGAGAACGGTTCAGTCAGTTTGGCTAGTTTCCTTCCCTAACAGACCCTCGCTCCTGCCTCCCACTCGCCTTACCTGCTAGCTCGCTCCTGCTTCGTCGGCTCATCTCGCATGTACTCGTTCCCTGCTTGCTCGCCCTCACTCACTCACTCACTCACTCACTCACTCACTCACTCACTCACTCACTCACTCACTCACTCACTCACTCACTCACTCACTGACTCACTGACTCACTGACTCACTCACTGACTCACTCACTCACTCACTCACTCACTCACTCACTCACTCACTCACTCACTCACTCACCTCACTCACTCACTCACTCACTCACTCACCTCACTCACTCACTCACTCACTCACTCACTCACTCACTCACTCACTCACTCACTCACTCACTCACTCTTTTCACTTTCCCGGGGTTTGGAGCCGGTCATTGTGAAGGTCGAGGTGTCGGCGCGGGGCTGGGCGGGGCGGGGTCGGAGTGGACACCAACAGGAAGCGGGTCGGCGGGCGGGATGAGGCGATGGGCGCCCCCGGCAGCCTCCGGCAGCCTCCGGCCGGCGGCTTGTCGAAACGCGCTGCGAAATAGAGCCTCAAGGACGCCCAAGGCGCGGCGCGCGGCGGGGTGAATCACTCGCAGGTGGGGGCGCCCCAGCAGCTGCAGGTGCCGCAGGTGCGGAGCGCGGCGGGCGTGGGTTCGAGTACTGGGTGCGCGCACACCGTGCGCGGGCGGGACGGAACCGAGCGGTCGCGCCGCCCGGGGCGGGCCCAGGGCCCCCCAGGGCCCCCCAGGTCCCCCGCAGGGCAGGGCTGCAGTGACCCACTTCGGGAGGCTCGGGCTCCGCCGGCCGCAAGTCAGTCGTTCATTAGTGCGGGTTATGAAAATGTGCGCAACGCAGACTGACAGACAGACATTCCTTTTTGCGCGCCGCTCGCGTCCAGCGGCGCTGCGGCCGGCCGGAGTGCAGGGGAGGGGACGTGGACACCGCAACTATTATTATTATTATTATTATTATTATTATTATTGTTGTTGTTGTTGTTGTTGTTGTTGTTGTTGTTGTTGTTGAATAAAGGTGGGTGTGTATGTTCAACAAACGTTCATGCGGCGGGAGTTTGTCGGTTGGAACGAATCGAATACAGTAAACTTCACGGGTGGACGGGTTACCATCGGTTTTGGATAAAATTTTGTCTCCAAAAAATTATATGACAGTTGGCGTATTCACGACGCACAATTTTGTAGTTATTCTGTACCGCATGCACGCGCACGGGCGGGTTTGGCTATCCTTGTTGCCCGCCCACGGCTCCTTATGACCCCGTGCGAGTAGGCAACCCACCCGCACGATTCCAGATTGTACCGTCTGTAAAGACAATACACCACAGTGTTGCGGGTTTGCCTACTCGATCTGCCCGTAAGGCGCCATATCCCCTTAGGCATGCAAACCCACAACACCGGGGGGTATAAGTCTTGACACTCGGTACAGCGTACAGCATGTGTACTGTTTTTTAACAGTAAAAATTATATTTGGAGCTAGAACGTTAATGGACCACTAATTTTCGAGGTGCGGATTAAGGTGGGGGGGGGGGGGGGGGATCGCCCCCCCTGTCGTCTCTAGAGAGCCGCCTGAAAGGTAGGCAATTATTTGCTCCACAAAACCCCTGTATGTAGGCAACCGACAGTGCATCCCCCCCCCCCTGTCAACCGGTCCTTAATCCACCACTGTAATTTTCGGAGCTGCACAACTACTACTAACACAATAGCTCTTGAGCAAGCGGTGGAACTACCTGGCTAACTTTTATCTGCGTAGCTCCATGTATAACCAATTTTTTAGCTGCCCATATAACCTTTTTCTGAGTGTAGTAAAATTTTTCGAAACAGGCAGACAACAAAATTTAGTTAACTATATAAGTCTACGAGAACTTGGAGCGAGGGGTGTCCAACTTAATCAGGTGTACACCTACTTGGTAATCACTGGTAATCCCTTATAATCCACACACCTTCAAAGGACGAATTTTTTTTGAGACATGAACTTTTGTGCACATCTTGCCGAAATATAACCGCGCATGTTTAATATGTTGACTTTGCATCTCTTCCATGGACAAAAATATAATATGTCTAATCATAGAATGCAAATTTTTAACTTGGAAGATAAAGAGTTAAGAACTACCTACGATGTGCACAAAAATGCATCATTCTCAGGACAAAAAATAGCCGTTTAGTTTTAGAATACATGTGAATCATACCTAGTATTCATGGCAATCTTCGGTAATCATTGGTAGTCTTTACAATTTGGTAATCCGGTGTACACATTTTTATGCAGTTGGGCATGGGCACCCCTCGACTTGGAGTGAAGTTTCGGAAACGTTACCTGTATACGTAAGGGCCGACCTGCTGCAGTCGCGGCCTCTCGCCCCGCTTGAGGACGCCGTCGGGGTTGGTCACGTTGAAGATGTACACCTTGGTGAGCCGCACCACGCCGGGCTTCTGCCAGTAGTAGTACGACATGGTGTCATTCCGGAGCCTGAGGTCCTGCGGAAACAAGGAGGCCGTTAGAAAGTATCACTGGACACGCATCATTGATGTGTGATGTTGTGATGTGTCCCATGTTATCGTCCACTCATGAAACATTTCTTGATGCATTCCACTTTTCATGCAAAATGGATAGAACACGTTTTTGAGGGAAAAGAAAAAACTTCATACGACATCCATATTTGAGGAAATCGTCTAAAAAATTAGGAAAATTCCCACATTTTTCGGGGAAACTCTCTCAAAATCTGAGGCACTCCAGGGGGACGGAACCCTAAACCAGTATATTCGTGAAATGCATCCCACAACCACTAAATCAAATATTAGAATCTCGCACTAGTTTCCGATCAATCAAATAAGCTTTATAGTATTTCTTATACATCTTTTTAATTTCAAGAGAGAGAAAGAAGGTGTGCTACTGGCGAAACTAATCATGGTGTATCATTTCACAGCGGGAGGTGGCACGTCGTCGGTGTAACGGCAGAATCATTGGAATGAATTGCTTTTGCGCTCATCCCCTTGACTTGACTGATCACCATCGGAGGTGTTACGAAACAGAGTCTGAATGGCGGCCGTCTGCGCCCTCATCGCGCCCCGCCCCGCCCCTCGCGGTTCAAATAACCCACAAGAGAGAGGCGGTGTCGTCCTTGGGTTCCTCCTCCGACCTTCACCCCCCGTCACGGCCTTCACCTTGGCGCCACGGTCGGTGCGGGCGCGGTGCGGGCGCGGGCCGGGCGCCTGCTTCCCCGCTGGCGGGCACGACAGCGCCCCCTGGCGCATCGCGGCGGCGGCGCGGACAACTAGAGGGGGACTTTATAATTACGAATGCCACTTTGGTGCAGCTCCTCTGTACCTGTACACTGATACAATGTATCAGATACATAAAGTGTTTACCAGGCGTGCACATGCAAGTGCTGAACCCGATGTTACACACACGCAGACTTTTAAGTGTTTGACTGGATGTATGATTATTTTAAACGTTGAACAGTAAATTTGAATAGTTTAAATTTAAACCAAAGGGGCGTGGCCTGGCAAACCCTGGTGTTGAACACTTCTAAGTGTTCAACTTTACTGTTGAACCCTTTATAGTATTCAAATATTCCGTTAAACACTTCAAATGATGCAACATAACGTTGAACACTTAATGTGCACGCCAGTTGAAAACTTAATTTATCAGTGTAAGTGGATGCAATAGACTAAAATGTGTGAATGTGATGATTCTGAGAAAGTGTGTCATTATGCAATTTCTTAAAACTGCACGAGGTGTAACAACTTCTAGTTTTGGTGTACAGACTACTCACTACTCCCAATTACACTGCATTACAAACGCGCAAAATTCTACCGTTTAAGAGCATATTTTGCCTTTTTACAACCTTCTTTAGAAATGACACTATTTACTCATATAAACATTATTGCGCGTAATACTTGAATCAGGAATACATACTATTGCGCTGGTGGTTACTCCTCGAAAGTGCATTAAGTGATTTCATTAAGACACGTCTAGTCTGTCTGTCTGTCTGTCTGTCTGTCTGCCCATTTGTCCATCTGTCTGCTGGAGAGTTCTTTGTAACATTTGTGTAATGCTGATAAGTTTGAAGTCGTTAACGAAAACAAAGTTTAAGACTGTTAAATTTTCATTCTAAACTGTACGATACGAAATAACAGTATAAAACGGTAAATCTTAAGTACAGCATCGATGTTTACAGTTATAACGTTAGGGTTAAAAGCGCAATGTATATTTCTGTAATGAAACACGCTCACAAACACTTTTGCTTTAGGCAAGTGAATTTGGCGTAAATTTACTCAAATTGGGCCTTCTGAGTGCTTTGACTGATTATGTAGCAATTCTAAAGGGAATTCTGATACTGTAGGAGGTGTTTTTTTCTTCAATACTCCGCAATGGAGCTGTCCCTTTCTCCGAACATTTCGCAATGAGGCGTGGCTGGCGCTGGCCGGCCAGGGACCTGTAAAGTGGCGGCCAGGCAATACACGTGATTGTGGAGCAGACACTGTAACGTACCAGCAGCGCGAGTGGATACAAACGGTTAGACATAGATAGGTGGACGGTTATTCGATGGGATTACAGAAACATTTCCCATGATTAATGATCGTGTGTGCGTGCAAAGAAAGACATTATGAATTTTAGAGGCTTTTAAGAGCTCCAAACATTATTGATTTTAATGCCTTCGTTAGTTTTGATGCAGTTGTTCTAAATATTTGGCTTTTAAGAGATTAAACTTTCGGTGTTTCACACATTGTTAAAACATATCGTAGATTTATTACTTTTTACATTATGGTGTATCCTCCAGTACCCTCTGCCGCAGGTAGCGGGCAGGTATATCTTATGAAAACCGCTTCGCATGGCCTGCTCTGGCGTGACGCGCAGAGGTGTGCAGGGTGGAACGAAAGAATTTTCTGATACCGGAAATTTTGAAATATGTTGGTAGGTAACCGGTTCTGAAGAGCGGGGGACCTCAGCCGCCGCCGCTGCAGCCTCCTTGGTCCAAAGGGACCCGGACGGCCGAACCGGACAGGAGCAAACGCTGGGGATTCCCCGTCAGCGCTCTGCCTTGCCCCGCCTCGCCCCACTCCTGCAGCGCCTCACCCCCCACCTTGCCGGAATGCAACCCCATCGAGGGGTTAGCGACACGGCTGGTTGGCTGAAGGATCACACATAAAATTTGATCAGTTCAGTCAGCGGCGAACAAGAAATACACCTATGGTGTGTTCTAGCATTACTACAAAATACTGAAAAAATACACAAAAATACTGACATATTTCTCACTGGTAAAACAAGTGTGTATAATTTAAACACCAAGGTGTGCAAGTTATGATTTTAAACATTACACGGTGTTTAACTCAAGTTGCACACTTGCGTGGTGTGCACATTTTAAACGTTTTGTACACCCAGAAAAATCGTTTCTTGTTTCAAGTAAATTTCTTCCTGTTTCAAGTGCACGCTGACACAAGATCAAATTTACTCTTGAAACAAGCTGATATTTTCTTTCGAATAAGAGAAAAATCTTATTCCAAAGACAAAATTGCCTTGTTTCAATGGTGAATTTTCATCTTGTGTCAGCTTGCACTTGAATCAAGAAACTATTTTTCTGGGTGCAGTGCTGTTCCGAGTACTTGGCATAGAACCTCGCATAGAACGTTGTCATGTTGTTCCAAAGCTGCATGTTTATTGCGAAATGTGCGACGGGTACACCATTTACTATTGGTTGAACACATGACACGTTTCTTCTTAGTAGGGCCGCTGACTTTCCAGGTTATTCATTCCGTTGTACGCGATTTGTCTAATCTGATCAGCATTCTTCTGGCAAACAACAACAACTTGCAAAGTTGTATTCTAGAATGTCGACTCGCATTTTTTTTCCTACATGCACACCAGTCTTATTGATGGCTTGCACAGAGGTTTACGGAGTCGTGTCATGTCAAACTAGTAACTCTTGTTGCTGTCGTGCCCCTTGTAGGCACTTTTTTTTCGAACGCCCATTTCGAAGGATAGTCGCCACAGTGCAAAATGCGGCGTATGGACGTTAGCGGACATGGCCTGGGCCCGAGGGTCAGGATGGACGTTAGCGGACATGCGGTACCTCGACGGCCGGTTCGGGGAACCGGCGGAGGGCTAATCCCAGCGGGGACAGCCAAGTGTGTCGTTTGCGGACATGCGGCGGCTACGGCGGCCTACCTAGGGACCGTCAGGCGCTACTACACTCGGGCTGAGGGCAAAGACGACCGGTTGGTATCTGAGTATATATTCAGCACTTGAACTAAACATTAACGTGTCAGCAGCTAGTACTGTCTGACGGAGGAGCGAGATCCAGCACGGGCAAATCGTCGTTTGCGGCAGTAATCAATTTCTGAAGTCAGATGGGCGTCGCTCCATGCCAAAGCGTTGCGCGGAGCGATAGCGAAGCGCAACGCTGCACTGATACTACCACTACTGATTTCCTGTATTCAGTTAGGTTTGTTAGTTTTGGTTGGCTTTTTATTATTTCACAACTTAGCTGAACAGATGATTATCTAAGAATATCTTTACTGATTTTCTGTATTGAGTTAGGTTTGCTAGTTTTGGTTTGCTTCTTCTCGGTCACCGCCCGTCGCCGCCGGCCGCCGCCGCATGTCCGCAAACGACACACTGGGCGGCCCCCACTGGGATTAGCCGTCCTCCGGTACCCCGAACCGACCGTCCAGGTACCGCATGTCCGCTAACGTCCATCCTGACCCTCGGCGCCCAGGTCATGTCCGCTATCGACACAACGCCCAAAATGCAGGTAGACTGAACGTGTTGCAGGAACGATCGTCGGTGGCGGTGCCCTGCTGGGACTTTTCCGCGAACCATCGAGAACCTCCTTGAACAGCGAAAATGGCAAGAGGAAACGGCCGATAAGCGACCTGGACAGCAGAAGGTAAGTGAGGAGTTGGGACAACTAAAAAAGGGACGCAATGAAGGAAAAAGTAAAATTGAAAACAAAGCGAGAGCGAGAACCGGCAGGATGACCAGCCCCAAGACGTCAATGACCCTGAAGGTCAACCGGCGTTCCTGAGGGCGTGGCGTGGCGGGGTGCGGTAGGGTGGAGTGGGGTTGAGAGAGGTGGACCGGGGCCGGTCGAGCGGTGCGGGTTGCAGGCTGGAGCGGGGCAAGGAAGCAAGCAGGACAAATGTGGGTGCTTGGTTTTCAATCAGTTATTTCACGCCCCCAGCAGAGGTAACTTTTAGGCAGAATGCGGACTCCAAAGACTTGGTTTCCAAAGAGTTGCTCTCTAATCTCCAATCAGTATCATCTAGGTTTCTGCGCAAAGCCCGCAATTTTCTTGAAAATCAGCACTTTAGCGTGGAGTGCGGTGTGCGAAATGAATACTTGGCCACTGTGAGCCGCACGATCGCTCCCCGTTGGGCATTCATTGTGTGCTGTAAGGCGACAGAGTGGGACGGGACCCAGACCCACCCGGACATAAAACGAGCGCATACGTTTATTTGCCCTCCCGGTCAGCCGG